TAAATTAATGCAATTACGTTCAAAATGTATATTTATAAATGCGTTTTTATTTTATACAACTTATTTAATTGAAGAAAGAATAATAAACATCATTTCTATTAATTTCTAATATATAGTTATTAAATTTATTTTATCACGTAACAAATTTTAATATTTGAATATTTGACTTAATGTTAAATTATATTTCTAGGGATTTTGTTTCTTTAAGACAAAAGAAATGCTATTGGTTACAATGATTATCGAGCGCAAAGTATAATCTAAAAGTTATAAATTAGAATTATTTCTATAACATTTATTATGTATTAAAATAAATACATAAATTGTTATTTTTAATGATAAGAGATTATAATATCATTAATCTTATATAAAACATAGATTATATAAATAAAATTAATTTTTTTACGTAATATTTACTTATACGTAGTCAAAAATCGATAAGAGATGTAGGATACTGTTAAAAGCGCACGCGTGAACTAATGCTGATACCTGTCAGCTGTCCAGTGTTAAATACAATTGCACATAAATTGAGAATTAAAATATTCTCTATCCTATTACGAAGTCTTCCAATGAAGAAATATAATTTTAATCAAACTTAATGGCTTGTGATAATCGAACAAAAGTGTATTTGGGATACGAAGATGAATATGTCACTGATAAACACCGACCATATATTAATTTTATGACAAATAAGATTGGTGGATTTCCAGTAAGCTTCTTCATTTTTAAAATTAAATTTCAGGCATTTATATTTAAACAAATAATATATTTAAAAAATTTTAATTAAACAAAATATCTAAAAAATTTAATCAAATTTTAAAAATTTTTAAGTTACATTAAATTTTTTTTATATGTAAATTATTTTTATATTAAATATCGTATAATTATAATATATAGTTTAAATGAATAATTTAACATTAATATATTGAACAATTAATATATTGAATTAATTTTTGAACAACTTAATATTGTTATAATAATATAAAATTAGATATATATATATTATTAAATTAAATAATATTTATTGTTTTTATTTGTAGAACTGTTATGAAAAAAATTTACTATCATTACCACAATGTAGATTATGCAGATTATATCAACTTTTGGCTCTTCAATTATATGTTCCATTAGATAATTCTAAATATCATCGAACACTTTATATTTTTACTTGTATAAATCCAAATTGTTGGAATCAAAATGAAAGTTGGACTTGTTTGAGAGTTCAAGTATCAGAAGATGAATGTAAACCAAATGCTTTAGATAGTAGTAGCATAGTAGTACCATCTACAACATCATGGTTGTCAGATGCAGATGATTGGGGTGATAATTTGAATGATAATTCTGAACAAAATGGAAATAACGTATTACCAAATAATATAACAGATTTTCATTTTTCTTTGCAAAAAGATGCAGATGAAAATATAAGAGAAGAATTTTCTGCATTACATGTTGATGATCCTAATGCAAACAGGTATATAAAAAATTGCTAAAAAACATTAATATTATAAAAATATATTTATTATTATATCTAATTTATTTTAGCCCAGCAAGTATAGAATCTCCAGTTGGTGTAGGTGCTGTAGGTAGATTAGATTCTCCTCAAGCATCAGCTGAAATTGATGGTGAAGAAAGTGAAGTTGTTTGTATTGATACTCCAATTCAGCCTCAATGTGATTTAATTAGTTTATTACGAGAAGTAACTCCATTTCCTATTCAAATAGAATCAAATACTGATACAAAACTATCATTTGTTGAAATATTTCTTTCCGTCGAAGAAGAAGATTACAATCTAGATGTGCCACAACATGTATGTGATTTACTCCTGGAATATCAATATAGAAATCCAGACTTATCATCAAAATCTGGAGCAGATATAGATGAAGGTAAAACTATAGAAACAGATTCAGAAAAATATGAAAAAGGCATTCCTATGCATGGAGATGAAATGTTTCATAATTTCATCACTCAAATACAAAAGAATCCTGGTCAACTTTTACGGTAAAAATATATATGTAAATATTAATTAGATATTATTATTATCAAATTTTATATATATATATTATATTATTCTTTAGATATTCCCGAGATAATTCTGCACCATTATTATTATATCCTATTAGTGGATGTGTTGGAAAATGTAGACATTGCGGAGGTGAAATGACATTTGAAGTTCAAATTTTGCCTACATTGATTTCCAAATTAACACTTCAACCACGAGTTGAAAAAAATTTTCAAATTGAATTTGGAACTGTTTTAATATATACTTGTGTAAGAAGTTGTTGGTCTCCAATGGATTTATACAGGGAAGAACATGTTATTGTTCAAGCAGAAAAATTATAGTGATACTACAATTAAAAATAAATTTAATAGAATTCCAAACTTCCAATTTTAGAAAAACTATAGTTGAATTTTTTTTTAGAAGAATACCGTCCACCTTTTGCGTATATTTTAGAATTCATAGTACTGGTGTATAAAAATAAATCTCTAATTCCTATAATATAAGATTCATTGAAAATACCTCTTTAAAATGTTGTGTTAGGATAGTTATGAAAAAGATCTTATTTTGCTTTTAAATTTAATAATAATGTATAATAGTATAAGAAGAAATATTATACATTACTACTTATATATAAATATATAATCATTAATAGAAATATGTTTGTTTATTCTTTATTTATCACTTATAACATTATTTTTACAATATATATTAAAAACAATTAAATTATCATAAAAGTTATATTAAATATTTAAAATGTTTTAGTCAAAGGATGACTCATAGGATATTTACGTTTTTCATATACAAGGTCCATTGCACTTGTATAACACTGATCACCATTAAATAATGGACCATTATCTATAGCTTTTGAAATTTCACATATTTTAGAATGTGTTACAAATGTCATTTTAAGTGCTACTTCTTTTTCAAGATCTGCATTTTGAACACCAATGCAATATGATCTTGAAGAACGTGATAAATTAGCAAATGTTGCATATATTTCTGTTAACATTTCAGTTAATCTTTCCAAATCTATATATTGTTCTACACACTGTGATCCACTACGTTCCAGTAATATTACAATACTGTTTCTGAACTTATCTATACAATCTTCCATATATCTACTAGCATGAGTTAATGATGGATGAAGATATTTATCAGCATTTAATTTTGCATTATATAGTTCAAATATTGAATTCAACATATTATAAAAAGGAATTTAAAAGCATTTCTTTTTTTAAAGACATGATTATACGTTGCTTGTCCAATATGTTGCATAACACGTGCTGCTGCATATGCATTGGCATCTAAATTATTTACATCCATTGTTGTCAGAGCCATAGCATCATGAAATGCTTGTATATATGATTTATTATTCATATAACTTTGAGCACCAATTAATTGTAATCCTGCTTGAATACATTTTAAACACTTATTTGCACAATATGTTTCAGTAAGAATTTGTTCCAAATCAGCATACATATTTTCATATTCATCTATCATTCCACTTGTAAGATAAGTCATACTTTCCATGGTATACAAAGAAAATACTATTTCACTTAAAGTTTTTTTCACAACATCAAACTGATATAAATCTCTATCATAATGCCTCATTTGTAAAATATCAGGTATTAATATATTTATAAAGTTTCTTAAAATACTAATTGCTTGAGCAGATATATTTTGCTGTCCAGGCCTTAAATATTCCATTAATATTTTAAATCCATCACCTGGTGTACCAATGATATTTTCACTAGGTACAATTGTATCATTAAAATTAATTGTACAAGTAGGTATTTCACATCTGCCAATTGTTTCATATACATTTGTACAATTTATATTTCCAAAATCACGTTCAATTAGAAATAAAGAAAATGAATTTGTTTCAGTCACTTTTATATTTGAAGACATATGTCTTGCAAAAACTAAGAATAGATTAGAATCTATTCCATTAACAACATAATGTTTTTCACCATTTAATAACCATGAATTTTCTTCTTGTATAGCAAGAGTTTGAATGCTATTAATATTTGTTCCACGATCACCTTCATATACACATATTGTAGGAATCATTTCACCACTCATAATTTTTGGATAATATTTAAGTTTTTGACTTTTTGATCCATATTTAGAAATTATTTGAAGTGGTGAAATATGATTTTTTACTATATATGTACCTAACCAAGGTAAATTACTTAGTGTTTCTATTAATTTCAATGATTCTGTATTTGATAAAGTTAACCAAAATATTCTTCACTAATGTGTGTTCGAAATACTTCAAGTTCTCTAAGTTGATTTAATATCTGATTTTTATCTAGTTTTTTATTAACACAACTTGACATATAAATTTCAATTGGTTTTATCCATTTAAAATAATCATCATATCTAAGAGATATTTGTTCTGGATAAATGAAAACTTCACTATCAACATCTTTTGTAAGTAGAGCTCTTAAAAAGGATATTCTTTGCGGTTTCTTTTTTGGAAGAGGTTCAAATTGAGTTTCCCGATAATTAATACGAGAAATAGTTTCATTTAAGTATTTTTTTAATATACAATTAGATTTAAAACTGAAAATTCTATTATTTTGCAATAATTTTCGTGAATACATTATTCAATATAATTACATGTAAAAATACAAAAAGAAATTTAATATATGATCGATAAAATAGTATTAATATAAATATTATAACAAACCATTGCTCGTAAAAACAAGATATCTTTATATATATAATACATAATATCATTTAATGTATTCTATGTTTAATAGCAATAGTATAAAAATAAAAAACTATACTGTTACTATTTATCAGAACTGTATAGTTTTTTTTATGTAGACAAAATAATATGTATATTTTATATTATATATTTTCAAATATTAATTATTTATAAGACATGAAATATTTATAACATATAATATAATAATTTAAAATAAGTCTAAAAAAACCATTCAAAATTTAATCTAATATAGGGATTTTTTATTTTAACTGCAAAGTTTACTGTACTTACTATAATACTATACGTGTATTAAAGATGGCTTAAAAAAAAGTTATAGTTTAGATTGAGAGATGTATCGTTTTATGACAAGGTGAATTTTAAAAAGTGTAATTTTCTTTTTCTAAATAATAACAAATATATATTCAGTCATGTCATATTTAAATCAACCCGATTGTGTACATTATGTATGTAATTGTGGTTCTTTAAAACCAATTTCGAAGATTTATTTCTGTAGACACTGCTCCAAAATTCGTTGCGGATATTGTGTCTGTCAAGAGGTATAATAATTTTTATTTTATTAAATATACATATAATGAATGTCGAATTATTTCTTATGAAATAAAATTATAAAAATTTGCATAAATTTTATATGTAAAAAAATAATTTTTATTTTAATTAATAGGTTGATTCACATTATTGTCCTAATTGTATGGAAAATTTACCATCATCAGAAGTTCGTCTTAAAAAAAACAAGTAAGTTTTAAATAAATGGAGTTTTATATATATAATAATTTTATATTAATATATAATATCTTACTCTTTTTTTAATAGATGTTCAAATTGTTTCAAATGTCCTTGTTGCTTTCAAACATTATCTACAAGAGCTGGACATGTACCTTTAAGAGTAATACCAATTGAAGGAGAAGATTCTAAAGATATAAAAACAACACCTAAAAAAGTTTATTATTTATTTTGTTCACTATGTCGATGGACATCTAGAGATGCTGGTATACCAGACCAATCTGTAGGTATGTTTATTCAAAATATTATAATTTACAATATTTTTATAATTTTATAATATTATATATATAAATATATATATATTCTTATATTTACATAAATAAAATATATTAAAATGTCCTTTAATATTAAAATAATATATGTTAATTAGCTACAGGAGGTTGGCCTGAACAAGAAAATCCTCATACAAACCGGATTAATACTTTAATTGATTATCATAAAATATTGGCTTCTATAGAAAAACAGCAATGTGAGAAAAAGAAATTTCGACCAAAGCGTCCTTATATGCAAATTGTAATAAATTTAAAAATTCATTTAAAAAGAAGTCTATTTTAAACCATGTGATTTAATTTTTTTATTGTCATTTTAGGCTATGTTTAGAATAACGTCTGCTATGGTTCGTAAACGTATTGGACATCCTACAAAACCTGCTACTGAATCAACTGACCAACCATCTCCAGCTGTTGCCAGTACAGAAGTAGAGGAATTACCAATAGATATTTTTACAGAACCAATAGAAATAACCAAGAGTAGGTAGTATTTATTTTTATCAAAATAATATTTTTCGTTATTTTAAGAAATAAAGAAAGAATATCAATTTTCAAATATTAGTTACTACATTGGAACAACGATTACAACATCCCGATATACAAGCAGAAAATGTAAATGAATTACGTCCTCAACATAGACAATTGTTAGTTAGAAGATCACAACGATGCCGAGTTTGCGAACATAATCTCTGTAAACCAGATTTTTGTACACATTCTGCAAAGTTTAAAATACAATTAGCTGCATTGTAAGTTTATATTTTATAAATTGTTGTGTTTTTAATATTAATTTACATATATTTTTATCATAGTTATCATGTACCAGAAGTAAGAATTGTTACTTGTGAACCACTTCGTCCAGGTAAATCAAGTGAATTGCTTTTAAAATTTTGCAATCCAACTCAACATCAAACTCAGATAATACTTTTATCATTGGATACACCATTGACACCTATTTTAACAGCTGTTGATGAAAAAGAAGAACTTAAGCAAGAAAATACACAACAGGTAAATACTTAATATTTTTTAAATTATATTATTTTTTTAATAATTCCCAATAATTCCAGGGATCTGAATCTCCAAATTTATTACCTTCTATTGTGCGACAAGTGCCTGTAATAGAGGAAACGAAATCTATTAAAATTAATGCAAATGCAGATATAATTCTTCCTCACAGTGCTCTTATTTTGCCTCCTAGAGATGATGCTGCTGAATATGATGATACTGGTGATACTCATAATTTTCAAGATGATCCTAAGTATGAATTTTTGTTTTTTAGTTTGGAATATTTAATAATATACTAAGAATCTAATTTGTTTTTTGAAGGCTTGTAATTTGGCGAAAAGGTAATAAAGCTGTAATAAAATTACATGTAACACCACATGAAAATATACAAGAAAACGATAGTCAACCAGTTATAATTGGCTTTGTTATGCAATATGGATATGTGAATACTATTACTACATTAGAACATAAAGCACCTCAAAAACTAGATCTTAAAGTTAAACTTTATCTTACTATAGGCAATATTGTTGGAAGTGCTTAATGCTTATACCATATAAACACTAATATTTATAACTATTATAAAATTAAATTCAATTAACTTCAATAACTAATATACATTCTCAGGCTGCACACATATGTATTTAATATGTACCATTTATTATTTAATTGTTAATTTTATAATGAAAAGTCATTAATAAATGCATAATTTTCTTAATATTGAATTTAAAAAAGAACTTAGTATATAAAATAAGTATATAAACTTTCTTTTCAAAATATAAAAATGAATAATAAATACTATAAATGTATTATATTTTGTATTGATTTATTATTATTTTATATTAAATAATCTATTCATTATATAGAATTTCTTTAATACTTATATATATATATATATATAAAGTATATAAAAATATGCAACATTTATTTTTTAAATTTTTATTTTTGAAAGTTAATAAACCATACATAGAAATATAATTTATAATCTCCGACCACGACGACCACCCTTTCTACGAGTAGAGTCAGATGGAATTGGTGTGACATCTTCAATTCGACCAATTTTCATACTAGAACGTGCAAGTGCACGTAAAGCAGATTGTGCACCTGGACCAGGAGTTTTTGTTTTGTTACCTCCTGTTGCTCTTAATTTAATATGAAGTGCTGTAATTCCAAGAGATTTACATTTCTCTGCTACATCCTATTAAAAATAGAAATATTATTTTTAAAATGTTAAATTTTATTATATATGTAACTAAACATATAGTTTTGGCTGTATTATGAAGTATAAGCTGTATTCCTCTAGAATATAGAAATGATTCATGCAGATACATTTCTAGTAAATAAGAAAGAAATTTGTTTTACCACATACATGAACGCTCCTAATATTAAATAATGTCACTTAGAAGCTGCCTGAATGTGGATAATTGATATATATTATAATTTTACCTGGGCAGCAAGCATAGCAGCATATGGAGAAGCTTCATCACGATCTGCTTTGACTTTCATTCCACCAGTAACTCGTGCAATGGTTTCTCTACAGAAATAATTATATTAGTTCTTGAAAAGAAAACAATAATTTACTTAAAATTTCGATATACCTTCCCGAAAGATCTGTTACATGGACGAATGTATCATTAAAACTCGCAAAAATATGAGCGACACCAAAAACAACTTCTCCTTCACGCAATTGAGGTCCGAGAGATACTTGAACCTCTTCTTTTTGTACCTTTCCTCTTTTCGGCGGCATTTCTACATAAAATATTTTTTTATTCTTTTAATAAACATGTATATTTATTATAAATATAAATAAAAATAATTATAAATAGTTATAAATTTTAGATTTTAAAGTTAAATGAGATCTTAGAATTACCAAACAATTTTAATTTTGTAAGGTTATGTTTCTTGACAGAGATTCAGGCTGTGTACAAAAATCTCATGACATAAAATTAAGCCAACAACATCTTAGCATTTAATGAATAATAAATCAATAATATAAATACAAATTATTTAAATACATTTATTTCACTTATTTTATATCTTATTTTTTAAAAAATAACAATTTTTTCCTAAGAAAAATAGCTCTAAATCAAACTTACTGTAATTCCTCGATATAACGCGACCGACGCAGCAGTCTAAAGGAAGGTGACTTCCGGTGTGTAACAATCGAGACAGATTTCGATAGTATCGAAAATCGAAATATAAATCATTATATGTGTACAAATAAAATAAAATAAAATCCAATATGTCTTTTATATATCTTTTTTGAAGGAAGTGAATAAACATTGAATAAATGTAAAAACTTAATTTATTTTAATACAAAATATAATATAATTTTCTAAGAAAGAACTTTTGATAATAATTTAATATTTTAAAGAAAATCTCTTTTATCTTTTTTATAACAATTATATTTTAGTTTTATTTTTTTTAGATTCCACATAATTTTCTAATATATTTTGATCCTGATAATAAAAATAATAATAGAATAATTATTAATAATTTACAAAAAATTTTTTTTTGATTTTAATAAATTATTATAATTTACCTGTTTTTTTGTCTGCCTTTTTTCAATTCCATCCATTTTTGATGAAATTTTCTTTGTTGTAAATTCTTTTGTTTTATTTCTTCCACGATTACCTCCTCGTGAACCTCGACCTTTTGTCGATCCTTCACCTCTTTTGGTTTTCGGCATCATATTTCTTTCTTCATCTTCGTCGCTAAGATTAATATCTGAATCAATTTCAAAACATTCTGCCTGATTTTTTACATTATTAAATACTGTTTGTATCTAAAAAGCAATAAGTAATATTGTAATTATAATTATAATTATAAATGACATAGATTTCAAATTATTTATTTACAATAATTTTTTAACTTTTTTAATTTAAATATACCTCCATTTTATCTACTATTGAATCTTCTTTTTCTTCTCCTATTCTTTCATCCCTAATATTTTTAATTTCATTTCGAATACTTTCAGAAGTGTCAACCTCACAGGTTTCCAAATGTGTAATTGTTTTTTGCATTTGATGACTTACAATACTTTTGAAAGCATCTAAATCTCCCATGTTAACAAATCGATTTAATGCTTCATTTAAACCATTAACAGTTAATACTGTTAATTTATCTTTATTTTCTTCCAAACTGAAATGCTTCTTTATACCTCCTTGTACAGTTTTGTTCCAATTTTTTTCACCCTTAAAAATCAATATTATTTAAAAAATATAATATAAAAAAATAATATCAATATTTATTTAAAAAATAGTAAAATATGATAACAATAATATTATTAATTTTTATTTACGTCGTCAAAATTGAAAACTTGAGCCATATCTTCAAGATCATCTTCAAGTGAATTTGAAGAGTTTGATTTTTTGTTGGTATTTTTTTGTTTACGAAATACAACTATATCCATGGGATTAGCAATTTCATCACAATATTTTTGTGTTAATCTGAAATATTATATTCTCTTATATTTGCTATAAAATGAATTCTTACAATAAATTAATCTAAAAGTTTAAATAAAAATAAATTTTACTTTATTTCATCAAAAATTTCTTCATCAGAATTATAAAATATTCTTAAACGTAATAAAGGTAAAATTGGTTGTTTAGGATGACCAGATAGTTGAAGAGCAGCTTTAGGCATAAGTTCATTTTGTATATAATTATCAATAAATTTGAATACTGATTCAGAAAGTCTCTCAGCATAATTTTTTGGTATTTCTTCATCTTTAAGAATTAAATTATCAAAAATAAATGGTCTAACAGTCTGCAGTTTTAATTTTTGTAATTTAAATTTCATTTTATTTACAGTTAAAATACCAATATGTTTGGGTTTTGATTCACCTTCACATAAAGAAGTAGCAATAGAACTTCCTACAATTTTAATTTTTAAGTATATATATATGTATATATTTATAAAATTTACATTCATAATATTTATAGCATTGGAACAATATAAACAAATTGTGATATACCTGGTTGTGAAATAAAATATTCAACATCTGGAATAAATTCTGGAGTAATACGACATTCATGTTCATGACCCCATATAATAAGATTAAGAAACTTTGGTAGTTTATTTTGTGGAATATATGTATATTCATCATGTTTTACACGATTTTGATGTAAAACAAGTATATTGAAGCAATCTGTTATTTCTGTTGGACGTAACATATCTATCTACAAAAAATTTATATTAATTAAAAAAATATTCATATTATATAATTTTTTTTTTTAAATACTTTTTCATAATTTTACCTTAAAATCTCTCAACAATCGAGATAATCTTTGATCATTTATATAACTCAAACCATACAATGCAATATGAGTTTCACCTTTTTTTATAATTAAAGGAGGAATATTTATTTTAGTAAGATCTGTCCATTTTCCAAAATAATTTATTAGACCAGATACTGATAATAAGTCCATTGATCCAATAGCTCCAAAGCCTATTATTTTATTAATAGTAAGAAATGAATAGAAAGAATGTTATAATTATATTACATTTGAAAGATTAACATTATATTGTTTACTTGGATCATCATGATTTCCATGAATGGAAAATATTGGCATACTAATATTTAAATTTGGATCTTCATAATTTACAGTTTTATAAGCACAGTGACGAAATATGACTTCTGGATCACTTAAGAATTGAATTTTAATTTCTCTAATAAAAAATATATATTTTAAATATACATATGATAAAAATGTTGTAAAAATGTATATTCTAATAAAATATATAAAAAATGATAAAATTATTATTTACTTTGTGCCTAAACAATACTTTCTTAATAGCTCCATGCATCTTAATATTGCAGTTTGTGATGGCTTAGTATCATGAAATAAATCTCCACCAAGAAGTATAAAATCTACTTCATATTCTTTTCCATACTGTAGTATTTCTTCAAAAGTTATAAAACTATCTTCTGATTGCTGTCCTTTTAATTAATAAGAGATAATTTAAATATGATATTGTAAATAGTATGTTTTAATAATAAAAACGATAAACTTCTTAAAGTAAATAAAAATGTTATGAAATAATAAACACTAACCTCTTTTTTTATTATATTCAAAACCTAAATGAATATCGGTTGCAATTAAAATTTTAATTGAATCATCTGGATTTGTTTTTTCATTTGTATTATTACTTGGCGTAGAAGACATATTAAATGTTTCAAATTTATCAAGAATTATAATTTTATTTCACTCGATTAATAATTATATACTATATATGTTTAAAGCAAAATAAAATATCTAATAAAAATTACATTTAAATATTATTTATTATTGCATTTTCCTCTTGTTAAAACAAAACAAGTGTCAACAAGTATATATAACAAGAGAAAAGACTATTATTTATATGATAAAATTATAACAGTACATAAAACCCCGAAATTTGCTACAATAAATTGGATTGTGATTGGATAAAAATATTACTAGAATTAATTAGTGAATATACTTAGTAAAAAAAATCGCAAAGTATCGATTGAAGTTACAAAAAAATGAAAAAAATTCAATAATTAATAATTATAAATAATATTTATCATAAGATACAAATTCAAATATTTTAAATTCTTATTTAAATATTAAAACAGAAGAATATTTTAGTAAAAATATTTAAATTATTATCAAAAACATTGTTTTGTTTATATAATTTTTAGAGTAAAATTAATCTATTAAACATGTAATAATTAAAACATTTGAAAAATTAAATAATTTAATTTGAGATTTATTAATTTAGATATAGTTATAAATTTAAAAAGATATATTTTTGATTTAAAAAATACAATTTAATTTAATAAATTAAATATAATTAAAATATAATAAAATTAAATATATCAAATATAAATTTTTGTCAATTCAATAGCAATATATTATGAAAATTTTATTAAAAAATAAAAAAAAATAATAAAATCACGATACAATTTATTTGATATGAAATATAATATTACATGATAATGAAATTGTTATAATTTTAAATGAGAATATATTCAATATTATATTGCAGTTTTTACTCAGTTTTACTATTATATTTTATTTCATATACTTTAATCCAATTCATAATGAAAAAAAAATATTTTATATTTGAATTGCCGCGAAAATGTCGATGCGAAATCCGAAATATTCCGACTATGACCGAAATGATGACACGGGTAGGGGTCGTTGGGATGGCGTTACGATCGCCACCTAGCGGTCAGTCGGCAGTCGTTGCAGCGAGGCGCAGGAGGAGGTTTGCTCGCCATATTTGTTGTTGTCGTCGATGGGGTAGCCTAGCTGGAGTTTTGTTCTAGTGCAGTGGTGTAGTGCGTAATTCTAACGTAAAGTATTACGATTATTTGTGTGCCCGTGTCGGGCTTAACCTTCGTGGAAGGTACTGCGGACACAGTGCAAGATGTCTCTTACATAAAACTGGTGGGGCAGTGGTGGCTCAGCTGTCCTACTCTGTTGTCGAGTGCGCCGTTTTATGTGTGTATGTGTATATACATATAATATACATGTTTGTGTACTATTCCCCATTCTGTTCTGGTTCCGTACTGTTCGTTCGGTGGTGCTAGTAGTAGTAGTAATAGTAGTAGTAGTAGAAGGAAAGAGGGGTGTGAAGTGCACCAGTGACGGAACGGTAAACTTGTTAGAGAGGGTGAGGTAAGCAGGAAAAGGGTTAGAATCCATGTGTACAAAAGGTGTGAAAGGTGGAACAGTGAGACATACGGGCTAGGAGACATAAGAAAGGAGAGGGGTTGCTCCCCTATGCGGGGTCGGGGTCGTCGCACGTTCTTGACGTGGGTCTGTCGACCCGCCAAGGTCCTTATGCCTCTGTCTATCGCGTCACTGATATGCTCGTGTCCCTCTTTCGAATTTTTTTTGCTCTTTCTCTTGTGCGAAAGTTCAACTTAACCTAATCCTTTCTAACCTTAATTTTATGCCGCTCATTTGACATTCGCCACAAACTACATATATATTCTTTATTGACATATCAAACATTATTTTCTTGTCTTTTTACTATTAACATCATTATGTATATCAATATTCAAATGTTGTTTTTATTTTTTTTTCTAGCTTTCTAGCTATATATACTCATAACTGGCGCGAAATTATTCAAAATATTGAAGTGATACTTTTATATACGAAAAATCAATATGTTTCTTTAAACATCGAAACAACATGAATCAGCTGTTTCTATTCTATCTTGTATTTCAAATAATTTAATATTTTCGAATACTTATTGTTGTATTTAATATTTGTTAATTTTTTTTTCAAATTTAGACAAATAGATTATTATTAATTTTGAATAAACGATTTATAGGATTTAATTGATCAATGTAATTGAATATCATGTATGCAATATTTTTATTATCATATTATCATTATAATATTATGCAAACAAGTATCGAAGAGAAGAGTTTCTTCGCATGATACTTTGCAGAAAGTTATCATTTATATATTTATATGATTGATGCTTTGCAATCGATGTTGAAAAAACGCTGCAATAAAAAAAGATATTTAATTATTAATTAATATCCGTTTCAATCTATATATTATAAAATTAATTTTCGATAATTTGTTATATTCTAATTTAAATTTATTCTCGGAAAATAAGCAAAACTAAATATATAGAATTGAAAAGTGAAAGGTGACCTTCCTGCGACATCACGGACAAAACATGACGACAATAATGACGAACAATATTTGAAAATGTGATCGAGTGTTTTGATTCGATTAATATGATTAATATTTGTATGTATTTTAAATGATATTAACAATGGTGCTAATCGAATTTTGAAATTAAAAGATTTTATAATTAATATTTTATTGACAATTAAATTATAATTAATATTTATTGACAATTAATAATGAAAATAAATTATTTAAATATCAAAATATTAAATGTTTTTCTTAAAGTTTATATATTTTTTCAATTATAATTTTAAATATTGAATTAAAATGAATTTGAGAAAAATGATTAAATTCTTTGTAAATGAAAAATTTCAATTACATACTACAATAAAAGATGATATTATAATGTTGCGTTTATACCGATTTGAAGAACAATTAAAAGTAGCGCATTATACTTGTGCAGCAGATAGATCTAATAAAGAGGAAGTATCGGGTGTTGTATTGGCGGTCATAAAACAATAATTAGGAGTATATGCTTGGATTTACTAATTATTTTACCATATTCTGTAAATTAGACTTCAATTAATAAATTTTAAAGATGCGTGGTTATAAAAAGTTGATAGACATATAATTTAAAAACATCATATGCAAAATATCATTGTGATTTTCTTTTCTTTCTTTATCTCTTTTTTTCTTTTTTCTACAAATATTATTTAAACAATATATGAATAATATAATTCTATTTTATTTCGGATTTATTATTATTTCTATTGCATGATATAGTATGATATAGTTTTATTTCGTGACTGTTTATTGTTAATGCAGCATTGTATATGTTGTTTAATATTTTCTATTTTTTTTATATAAATTATTAAAATTAATTACAAGAATTTTAAAAAAGAGAAGAATTCTTAATATTAACTTCTTAATAAACTTTAGAAGATTGTGTTCTATTTCAAAAAGAAAAGAGATCCAAATTCTTTTTTTAATGACGATATGCTTGCTAATTTTATTACAATAATTGTAATTGTAATTAATAATTATAATGTATAATTTAATATAATATGCAATGTACAATTTATTTTAATATTAATTATAAAATGTTGTATAATTGGAAAGAAATTATTTTATAAAGTTGTTTTATTTAATGCTTATATAATCATAAAAAATATTAATTATTAATATTCATACATATTATTAAATACATGTAGAAACAAATTGAATTTTGAAGAAAACAATATTATTCATTAAATATATTATATTATTTGCCCATAATTAAATTATTATATAAGCAAGTGACGCATTCATTAATAAAGTGTCAAAATAGAAAAGGATTTGGACTTTTACAAATAAAAGACAACATGTACGATTCTTCCATAATAAAATAAAATAAAAGAAATATAATTCGACTTCCTAAATAACTTCGAAAAATATTCTCCCACAGGCGGCGATTCGCGTGGGGCACAGGGTTGAAGGGTTTGTTCGTCAAACGGTGGCTCGGCTCGTAAGAGACGGCGGCGGTATCGTCGCTTCGTGATCGCGGTGGGGCCGTCGTCGGAGCACGGTGGTCGTTCGGGGGCGCAGTGGCTCGTAGTATCGCGCGTGCCGATTCGTACGACAATTAAAACTGGCGGGCAATCTGGCTCGGTCTCTGGCGGGCAGTCTGGCTCGGTCTTTGGCGGTGGGTGGTAGCGGCGGCGGTGGCGGTGGAGGCAGTGCAAGCGGCGGAGGGGGTGGTGGCAATGGGAGCAGCAACGGTGGAAATGGGGGTGGCGGTGGATCCGGCGGCGGTGCTCGGGGCGCAGAGTCTGCTGCCGCTTCCGCCGTATCCGTGGCCGTGGATAATGTCGCTGGTCAACCGAGCGGTCCTCAGATAATCGAATGGGAGGAGACCGATCGTTATTCCTTCGACGACTCTGATCGCTTCGAAGAGGATTCTTTGTGCAGCTGGAGCAGTGAGCCAGAGTCGTTGTGCAATAACTGGAGAGGATGGCGACGACCCACCGCCGGTTTTGGCACCACCAAGAAGCCCATGGAAGGTGAGTGAAATTTTTTCTTTTTTTTTTTTTACATGTTAAATGATTTGGTATAGAGCGATTATTATTTACAAAATTATTTACAAAATAAATAAATAAAAGTTTGTTTTCATCAATTTTAATTACCTTGAAATATGTTGTCAAAAACAATATTTTGAACATGTTTTCTTGAAAATCATTCAAATCAATAAAAGCAATTATTTTGTAAATAATTATGCTGCATATTTAAAAATTTGGTGGTTATTCAAAATTAAAAAAAACATTTATCTGAAAAATAAAAAAAAAGTATTATTATTAAAATAATTTGTTAATGGACATGATAACTTTGAATGATTCATTATTAGTTTATTATTTTTATTAGTTTCATTAGCTCATTTAGATTATGATAGTTAATTTGATCATTAGTATATATATATATATATATATATATAAATTAAATTTTAATATAATATATGTATATAATTGAATCATTTTGTATAATTATATATAATGTGATACAAATGTAGCAGGAAAATTTTTTTATGACACATTGGAATTTTGTAATTTATCATTTTGAAATATCTTTAAATTTAATTGTAGATGTGTGGTCCAATATAGTAGATCCATTATCTTCGGTAGCTTTAAAGGAATGCATTGTCACTGCGTTTGCAAGATGAACGTGTGGCAATGCATTATAATTCTCGCGTCTCTTTAAGCGTCACATAAGATGCCCGCATATCCTATGACGCATACAAATTCCACGACCTGTTGGCTCGAATAAGCAAGGTTAATGATTTCCCATCTTCCTGATGCATCGTCACGTTTCTTTATGTTATTTCATTCTTACTTTTCTTCTTAGCTTTTGCAATTACTGACGTTAAACTTTCCATAAAAGAGATTCGATGATTTTAGATTGATCGATATCGATTTTTTTCTTCTTATTAGTGCCATCCATTAACTTAATAAAGCTTTCACTATGTGAAATACGTTTCTTCGTTTTTCTAGTGAAAATATTTCTGTGGGAGAAAGTAGTATAATAATAAAAAGCGAAAAGTTTAAGACATTATATTTCAATCGAAATGGAATATTCTTGATTCGAAAATTTATCGAAAATCCTTATTAATGTAAATTGAATAGGAGAAGTGTTGAAGTGGGATGGTTGAAGTTTTTCTTTCGAGGGTCTGTAATTGAGTTGGCACGTGGCCAATGTTCACGCGCAACGTAAATTACTTTCTTACCGTTGCTCAGGAGCGTATGTTACACCATGTAATAATAAGTTGCTACATGGTTGCATGCTATAAATTGAAACGTAAAATCAATTATTTTACTACAACATCGTCGATTTTTCGTTTGCCTCGTAAAAATATATTTTTTTGTAGTTACACAATTTTTTAAATGATGACGTTTCGAATAATATTAAAAAAATAATTTTATACGATTCGATTTATTATTGTAATTGAATGCTATCATTTGCCATATATTTGTTTTTTTGTATAGTTGATATATTGATACATTGAGCAAAAATATAGATAGCGTAACCAAACTAATACGCGATATCTTGTCTTCTGTAAATAATGTTCCTAATTCTTACCTCATAATTATAAGATTGGAGAAAATCATTAACAAATATTGTTTCATAATATCGAAATTTTATCAGACATATGAGATAAATGAAAATATATTGTATATGCATATGAAGAAGCTTTCTATTTTATCTTTAATCTTTTATCATAAATATAAAAATAGAATTATTTTTGAAAATTAATTAACATAATGTCATTAAAATTTATTTTAATATTTCGAAAATTAATCAATAGATCGAATTTCTTGATTGAATTTGTACAGCCGTTTTTGTGTCGTTCTCTAACCTGCACACGCATGTATATATGGAGGGGAAGTCAGATTTCACTTCATCCTCGCCGCTTCTCCCTGGAATACATATATACTCCTTTCCTTTTTCTTCACGGTCCTTGCTCCGCGGCGAAGCGATCAAGGCCGAGAAAAAGACCAAACAGAGAATGAGAGAGAATGAGAGAGAACGAATCGTATTCGCTCTCATTTGCCCGCGTAAACACTTCTCGTGCATTTAAGATTTCGTACTTGCTGCTTCTACTGACGTTGAATGTTATCAGACGAAATGGTTTACCGCTAAAATATGTTAATTGTATGCGTGTTGAATTAATGCGTTCGTTTAAAAATGTTCAATCAGTGAATATTAAAACGATGTAGTAATTTTCAAATCAAAGTAATTTTGATGGTGAATATAGCGGAAAAAATTTAATAAGTTTGGATATTATAATAAAATCATCGAATAGTATCAGCATAGTTAAAAAAAAAAGAGTTTGGAGAAATATTATTAAAATTAAAATATTATTAAATCAAAAAATAAATGATTTAAAATTTTTTAATTCTTTTCAAGATATTCGATTTTTAATTTATAAATTATTATTATATTTATATAAATTATAAATATATTATAAATATTATAATAATATAAATAATATAAATATTAATACATACCTCTATTTTTTATTTCATTAGTGTTTCTCTCTTCTTACATTGATTTGCAATTTAAAACCAATATAATACTTCTTAAGATTATGAAAATGTTCATCTTTTAATATCGGAATAACTAATACCAGAATGTTATAACGGTTGTTCCACACATGGCTATTTTTAAATACGATCTGTTTGTGATGACGAAGAAACACTATTCCAAATGTGTTGTGCTTTAATTTTCCATTAATAAGCATGCATGCACGCATGTAGAGTTTTGAACGGTTTCCCTAGCTATTGGTTACGACATGTGTTTCCTTCTTTTATTTCACGAGGCCATCCTTCAGAATTGCGACCACGTAGAGAAAGTATCTCATTTTACTTTCTCAACGCATGCGTGTACGCGACGCGCATACATTTAGAAAGTACGTTGTTCCCGGAGACGTGTTCCTTCTGTCATTCCATGATCGGTCACATCGGTTTTCCACATGACCAGGCGATTACTTTTGCCTAGAATTTTCAAGGTTATTGTTCATCTGCAACTATGTCGTCATGCGAGGATAATTTGCTACTTTCTGATACATGTTAACGCGCATTATGAATTCTTGTTTTTCACTGATATGACTCTTCACGAATAGAATATACGCGATTGTTTTTGCACGCATGCGCAAATAAATTGTTATGGAAACACTTATTTCATATAAAAATTAACCTCTATTTAATTTTTCAGATTTCAAATTCAAATTAAAAAATTTAAGTTCAAATTGAGATTATGTCAAAGATTTAAAATTTATTGATCATTTGCTCATCAAATTGCAAAGAAAATGCTTTATTATAGTCTATTTGGATTAGATCTGACGATTCATTACAAATCAAATCGATATCGTTCCGATTTCATTAACGATCGTGTGACAACGGTGATGATATCATTGTATCACCTGGTATATAGCAAGTGAGCAATTCTAGCATACATCTGTGATATGCTTATATCTATTTGAAAGCTTGACAGTCGAGACAGTGTGCGGTCACGCGCGCAATATCATCCGGATTTCAATTAGACTAATGCATCGGCAGCGTAGCGAGAAGAGAGTACGTTTCTCTTGCATGGAACATGAGATCTCTTATTGAACATAAGTAAAAAAACGCTTCTGAATTTTTATTACTTTAAATTGTAGGTTGCATTGATAAAATTTCAAAGTGCATTGTCATTTAAATAATGTAAAAAATGTAATTAATCTTTAATCTAATTATGCATAAAATATATATGTAATAATTATTAGTTTTTTTGATGAAATTATGAAAAAGGAGATATTAATATTAATTATTACTATTTAATAGTCTTTCTATTATTGTCTCTAAATCAACTTTTTATTTTTGAATTTTCCATTAATTTGAATAGCTGTATTATAATAAGGAAACACATGATGACTAATGGGAGAACAAAAAGCAATTTCATGAAATATAATAGTTTTTTTTAATTATTCTTCTATACTTTCAATTCTCTGAATTCCTGAAAATTTCATTTAGCTGATGTAGTAAATTTAAAAGAGCAATCACATTCTTTTGTATGTTGATTATTAGGGAAAATTACTTTTTATCAGCAATGCAAAACAATTATTGATGATATATTTATATGTACAATAATGTAAATAAATGTAATGTAATTGAAATTTAAAATGCAATTGAATACAAATTTACATGATATTTCAGAAAATGATTTTTTAAAATCTATGTACAAACTATCTATGTATCTACAAACAACCAATTGTTAAAATTAAAAATAAATTGAAATGGATTTTGAAATTCGAATTGAAACTTCAATTTGAAATTTTGATATCTTAAAATCTAAATTCCATATATATTTTTATTTTTTATTTTAAAAGAAGTAAATATCTATCTATTTTGTTAGTTACAATTTTATTAAATTTTGATTTCTGGAATTTTTCATATTCCTTTTTTAGTTTGCAAAAAATTAAATATTCATATTTTATTCTTTAAATAAATTATAATGAAAAAGATTTTGAATAGCCTATCTTTAATATTTTTCCAATACAATCTTTTAATCATATTTGTTAATATCACATTTGCTTCACTTCACAGCATATCTAATATTTGTAAAAAGAAAAACAAAATTTATGTAAAATGCACGATATCAAAGAGATTAAAAATCAGCTCTCTTTCTTGTGTCCGTCCCTGGAAAACAATGGCGGGTATTGCAGGATGTATTGCTAAGAGTAGAAAAAGAAACAAAAGAAGGGGAAGGTTGAAGCAAAAGAGAGGGTTAGTAAGGACGGGATGAGAAGTGGGGCGAGGAGAAGGCGAGAGGAATGGCGAGGGTGGAACAAGCCGTTACTCGAGGATGGTCGCAAGAGATGAAGAACGGGCTGAAGGAAAGTTTTCACTGGTCGATGATGTTGTAGCTTATATTTTGTGAACATCCTGCGATTTAATACGAATAACGATGCAAGAAAATACATATATATACTACTATGTTCGTAAATAAGATAATATTAACTACTATAATACTTATAAATAATTTGATGATATTATGAATTGATTGGTTGAATGATTTTTGATGAGATAGCTTATTCCATTGAATAAAATATTGTTTTTTTTAATAAAAAGATTTAATAAAAATTAGAGAGTGAAATCCATGCAACGATTTGTATAAACCGTTTTACGTGAAGCATATTCTGTATTTTGTTGTCTATTGATACTGATAAGATTTAGTATATCATCCATATATTAATAATTCTCATTCTGGTTTTTAAGATCTTCAATCATGAAATGAAATGATATGTACTAACTTATCACGCGCTCCTTTTATCAGGCAAACATTGTACCATTGGCAAACCATTGACAGGGCTCTGATTCCAATTTGCTCACAAGCGAGACGATTCGAGCAACACCGATCGAATGGTCGATATCGGATTTGGATAATTCTATTTGTCTGATAATTGAATCTATCCAAGCATATCCAGTTCCATGGTTGGATACTGTTCGGGAAGATCGGTGAAAACATCGGTGGAAACATGCCTAGTTCATATCTACTTGGAAATATTTTCCAAAGGAAGAAAATCGACCGAATTAAATTCTGCTCCACATCCTTTCCTGGATTCATTTGCATCTTTGTTTTGATTATGTGTTCCCGTCTAAACGATTTCTTGTTTCATGCTACATCTACTGATTGTTTTAATTATACGTAGAAGGAATAAATCTGAAGAAGAAAATTGCAGCATGGTGTACTTGCTACTTAGGTTTGGATTGAACTCTTGATCTTAAATTCACTAGATTGTTGTTTCTAGGATATTGAAATATAAAATATTTCGTATAATCATATTTATATTATAATTGATCATTTCTTTTAATTAATGTGTTAAATACAAATGATATTTTTAGTTTTTTATATCTTTTTAACAATATCTTCCATATAAAATAATAATTTATATGATCTATATTTGAAGTATCAATATATATTCATAACATTTCTATATTTTCTTATTTTAATTAAAAAAAAAGTCATAAATAGATATAAACAGAGTATTATAGCGTATAACTTTCTTGTGTAAATATTATAAGACGTTGAAATAAATATCTATTCTATTCTGGGACATCAAGTTTAACCTTACTTGAATGGCAACAAATATTTCTTTTGAAATTTTAAATAATTGCTCTTTTTTCATGTAAAATATTTCCAAAACATATTAACGGTCATTTTAATATTATTTATTGTTGAATTATGTTCTTTTCAATTTTAAATATTAAATTACACAAAAAATATTATGTTGCACATAATTCAATCTAAAAAATCTTTCATTGTTCTGTTTTTCATTATAATTAATATCTTCATTTTCTTTCTTCTTCTATTGAAACAAATTCATATTTTTCTAACTTCCAGTTACTGAACATCGTCGAAACTTGTTAACAACCTGCAATTAAATAAAACAAACGAACGAGTTAGATTGGTCACAGATTTTATTAGTTGGTTGAAAATTCGATTCTATCACCATACCGAATTTATATTTTCGCCGTGTATACATAGCTGTATACGCATGCCCTTTCCTGTACGTAGAACGCGAGATTTGCATGCGAAGAACGTGCGTCCAGACGAAAGGGGATTCCTTTTCCTCTTTCTCCTTTGACTGGCAAAAATATTTTGCGCATAAATCGTTTCCATGAGATTCGTGGATGTCACTTTCGTGGAAAATTATGTAACTTCTCGATTCGTAAGTTATGTTTCTAAATATTATTTTATTTCCTCGTTCAAAATGTAATGCTCTATATAAAATAATCAATAGCACTGATCATCCCATCTATCATCAGTCTATCTATTTCTAAATTTCTAAAAGTTTTTTTTCCCATCATGTTATATGATTTATTTAAACTTTTTCGATTCTAATTCCAAACATATCTACACATCTACTAAAACAATAAAAAAATTATTAGAGTTGAATATAAAAAATATTGTTGTTGATTTCATTGATTTTAAAGATTTTGGTTTCCTTTCGTTTCGATGGATTCGATGGATTCGTTTCACTATGGATTCATGGTAAATGTAAATTGTCAACCCTTCTCGTCGAGAGAGAACGTTCTTAGGTCGACAGTGATTAATGTCTTAAATTCTTGGAGACGACCGTGCAAGCATTAATGTATTTCAAGTCATCAAGTAACCCGGTTAATGATTCTACGAAGAATAACGAATGCACCCATGTATTACTATGTTTGATGTTTTAACGATTCTTTCGTTCTTAAGAGACTCATTTATTCAAAAAGATCATCAGTTCAATATTGTAACCGATATTACATAAATTACAGAATTTTATATATTACAGAAATTTCAATTTTCAAGGACATGAATTATTCTTTGCAAAATGTTACTAATCAAATTTCTCTTTTTTTTTGCATTAATTGGATAACATTTTTAAAAATGATTCTAAGGATAAATTTGATTCTTTAGATTTTAAAGTAATTTGTACTTTATAGAATATATTATTAGAGATCTGGAGATATTGAATTAAAGAAAGTTTAACATGATTCCAAATGTACAAGAATGTAATTCATGTTCAAATTATATCAATCATAGAAATAATTTTGAATTAAATTTATTAAATAGCTGTGTTAAGTTTTAAGCCTATCTTGCATAGGAAATTCTAAAGCTAAAGATTAAGAGGAAATTATTATTGAATTATCCGAAATTCAATTTGAATTATTATCGGAAATTTCTTGTCGTTCCGTTAACTTACACAAATAAAATTCTATTTGGAAATTTGTTCTCATTATTTTCCACCTTTATTCTTTTCACTTAATAACGAATTTTATTACCATTAATTTCTTAGAAGTAAATTGTATAAGAATATTCAGAATCATATAAAGATATTCAAAGTTATTCAAAATTATTTCATCTAAAGTCTATTATAAAGATATTTCAAAATCATTCAAGATTATTGAATGTTATTCAGGTTCGTTTAAAGTCATTCAAGATTATTCAAGTATTATATGAATGTTCTTTAAAGTTTTCTTTTGGCTGAAATATTTTAAAATTATTCACGATCGATTGTCATTTAAAGTAAAATAAAATATCGAAGAAAATAAATTTATAAATCATATAAAAAAATTATAAGTAATTAAATTAATTTTTATCTTTCAAAAGTGATCATTGATGTCTAATAAATAAAATAAAAGCTATCTTTTCAACCTCGTTATATATGTTTGTCGCATAAATTAAAAGCGAAATTCTAATCCACGTTTGCGTTTCTAACTCCTTCGAACTTCCATGTTATCTGACTGATTCGAATTTGAACGATTCTCGACAACTTTACGCGATCATCGTTTCACTCAATTGTAACTTCCATTCTCCAGAATAAGAACATTATTCGCTTTCCAGGACGGTTTATACCTCGAATATTCTCCTCACTGAAATCTTTCACAAGCTCGTCTGTACTAAATTAAAATCCCTTTAGTTCATATTTAGCTCATCATTGTTCCAAATGGATTTCATGAATTTTATGGATTGTAATGTGACCTTTTATTCATGACAATGCATAAATTGATCCTGATTAATGATGCCACGATGTTTCACGTCAAGAATATTCTTTGATCTCTCATCGTTCTTTATGGATAGTTGATTTATATCTATCATGTTTTCGAGGTGGTGACTGACAATTGAAGAATTTGCAACAAGAGAAGGACAGATCCATTTTTTCATAGTTTTTGAACTATTACATTTAATATATCTAGAAAGAATATAATATATTTAATATTATTTTTGTATATGAGCTAAATATAGATGTCAATAAAAAAAATAAGTAATTTATTATAGAATTTATTTTGCTTTTTATAATAAAAAATGTAGAATCGATCATATTTTTTTCATTTAACAAAAAATATATTTATTATAATATTTTGCAAACTAATATTGTTTTAAATTTAAAAAAATTCATAAAAATTAAAATTTTTAAAATAATTATTAATTTAAAATTAGCTTTTATTTTTTATTTTTATTTTTTCATAATTATCAATTTAATTAGATTTTAATTTAAATTTGAAATAATTACTGCTTTAAGATAGAATAATTTTATATTAAGATTGCACACTAGATTATTTCTCGGATATTATTTCCATGACAATTTCTTTTTTTACATTTGACTCACTGATTTTCCATTTTAATAGTCTGTTTAAATAAAGGAAAAGTCGGAAAGTTAGATTAACGATCTCCAGGTATTGTTCGAGGTGAATTCGTTAACAAGGATCCATCGCGTAGAAGGTTCACGCGACTCGGCTTATCGTCGATCGTAATCGCTCACGCCCGGAATATCGAGCCATAAATTCAATTAACCTGACGAGCGGTACGCTTGAATTGTCTTCTTGTGCACGGATCTATCGAGTCAACCGAAACTTCATTATCTTGCATCGATGTGTGCTTATCCTTGGGCAATGACCTTTCAAACTCCACACAGCCATACTGAAAGTGGATAATAAAATCCATATTGCGAAACTTTGATTCGAAATATTGTTTTTATCCAGTTTACTTACCGAGAATATAATTGATCTGAATAATACGAATTCAATTATATACTTATATATTTATCACTTTAATTAAATCACTTTAATTTTTTAATTAATTTTTTTAATTTAGTTTTATTTGAATGTATTATATTTTAAAACCAAAAAAAAATTTATATGAATTTTTAATTATGCGAAAAATTAATGTTTTTGTGTGTTATTTCACAAATCAATTCTTCCAGAAATTTGAAAATCTTATGTTGTATTTTTTTGATTTTATTGTTCATTTGTTCAATTCTTCATGAATATGACATGGCTGGATCAGCAAAATGATGCTTTCATAGTAGCTTGTAGCTGTGATGAGAGTCACGGCATTTGAAAGGAATATTTTAAAAATGCTTACAAAAAAACAAAAATGAATAGATATGTTTGGCAGCCAAACAAGTAACTTATGATACGATTTAATAAAATTATTTGTACCTTTAAATTAGAGAAGAAGCTTAAAGATCTAAATTTCACAATACAATATGACGTCTAGTTTCTTTGCACTTCAAATAACAAGTTGTACCATTTTACACCGACTACAGCGCTTTTACCATGTTCATAATTTCGTATAATAGGTGTCGCTCCATTCGTCTTCTACATTTGTTTCGTTCGGACGCCAATCTTTCTTTTCCCGCGTATTCGCAGTGTGTTCAGAAGTTGCAATGAAACTTCACCTTTAGTATAACCACCGGACGTACATATATATGCACCAGGTAGAAAATTAGCGTAGAACAATGGAGCATCTCCCCTACGTAATTACTGTGCGGTTTGGCCGTTCGAAGGCGAGGGTCTCTATCCTCTCTTTTGCTCTGTTCCGTTCACCTAGTCCCTGAGACAGTGATTATCGGTATATACGTACACGCGCGTGCATATCGCTAGTTACATAGTTTTATGTGGATTTCATCGTGCACGTGTGCGTCATATAGTTATCCAGCCCTCTACCATAATTACCAGGAGGCAACAGATGCATATACTCTCATTTCTGTTGTACGCTTCGAAGTTAGCAAAAACGTTCTATGAACGTTCACGCACGTGTCACCATGAGAGTCTGGTTTGTTCTTTTCTTCATTTTTTTGTTTTTTTTTTTTACACTTGATAAATAGTCGCACGCGATTCTCTTGAGGACGTTCAATTTCTTTAAGATCCTTTAAGCACATATTCAAAATTGTAGGTAAAAAAATATATATGTTGCTGCGATTTTTATCGATATTTCATAAAGATTAAGCTATTTAGAACTTTTCTTGGCAAACTTTGAAATGACAGTTATAACAGTTTAGAAAATTATAGTGGTTTTGTATAATAAAAAATTGTAATTGGATAAATATATATATATATATATAATGAATATAAATAAGTGATTAGTTTACATTATTATATGTTTTTGCTTTATAATAATATTTTAGGTTAGTAATGATTATTGACTATATATTTATTATATATATATATATATATATATGTGTATATATATATTCTATATTATTTGCTGAATCATTAGCTGTGTATATATCACTAAGATGTGTTCTGTCGATATTGATATATAAAATATTGGAATGAATTATTTTATCATATTCAAAATTTATGTTAAATTCTTCTTAACGATTTATTTATTTTAGTTTTTCGAATATTCATTCTGTAGCATTGAACATATATGATTTTTTATATTAATTTTTTAATAAGATCTATTCATTTTATTAATTTTCCAACGAGTTTAAATTGAATCAATCATTGTTGGTATTATTAATTGTATAAAGGAACAATGCATGAATAATACAACATACATTATGCACGATTTTACCGACGAAAGCGATCGCATTTTTATCGCCTGATTATATCAAGGATTTTCGTGTTCTTGCCGAGAGACAGCTCTTATTCCGCAATTTATAAATATTCCTATCAAATTCACTGTCCGAAATCGATCGACAGTAGGGTGCAAAATTGGAATATATCGCGAAATCCCGTGAGTACTTATGTACAATACCGCGATGCATTATGCACGAACTATATTAAAGCATGACGAGCGTGCCGCGCGCATTTCTAGTCTGTTTATTCAACTAGGAAGAACACCAGGGGCAGCACAGGCGAGTGTAAAAAGAAAAAAGGATGCTCAAGGGAAACCTATTGGATAAAGAAAGTACTAGTTTATTATAAAAGTCAGAGAGCAAACACAGAAGTTTAGAAGAAATGAAAAAAGAAATTCGGCAGATGAGACAAAAAGAAAATAAGGAAATATTGAAAAGCAAAAGTGAAACGATCTACGAGAGAATAACAAAGATGGCGTTCTATCTTGATGGCAAAGCAAATAATAGTAGTGCGATGTTAGAAAAAAAGAAATGGTGAAAAGACGAGATAGAAAGAAAACAGACGGCTCTAAGTGAAGTATGCATAAAAATCGAAAAGAGAAAGAATGATGGTAGATGTAAAACGGCGGGACACGCGACCGAATGACAAATCGCTCGACGGCCAGAACTTTCGAGCTCTTTGTCTCCTGTTGGCTGGATGCGACTGAAAGCCTGGCGAAAGAGAAGGGGGTTTGAAGAAGGAAAAGAACAGAAGGCAGAACGGTTGGAAACGTGACAGGGATGAAACGATAAAAAGTAGAGGAATCTTGGTGGAATTGTGGCTTGATTTGGAATTGTATCCGGCTAGATTTGACGAGGTGACTGGATAACTTGATGAGAGGCGGAAGAGGGAAATGAATGAAAGAGAAAGAGTAATCTTCTGTCTTTCTGTTTCTTCTGTGCGAAAAATCCATTTTCAAAAATTTACTATAAGAAAGATTTCATGAACATTTTATCTTTTTTATACTCAATTATTCTTATAATCTATAGATGTTTAGTTTTAAAAAAACTTATAAGAAATTGATTTATCAAATTTATTTTTTATCAAGTTTTAAAAAAATGAAATCATTTAAAGATATTGCAGTTTTTATAAAATATACATTATTCTTTTTTGTCCATTTTTAAGATTCAGATTAATATACAAACAATTTGATTCTATTAAAAAAAGAAAATTCATGTAATAATATTTCAATTGTAAATTTGACATTATTTTATAGATATAGTACTTTAAAAATTTAAAAATTATAAATTTTATAGATATACCTTAAATACAAAATTTTAAGCGATTGCGATCAAAAGTGATTTATAGTTTGTATAATTATATAACTAATATAATTTATTATATACTCATTTGCTTGACCTATATGAATAGTTGACAACTTTGAAATTAAATACAAGCAATTAGAACTTTCGTTTTATATCTATTCTCTAATAAATAAACATTCAGATAGATTATTTCAATTTTTAAATCTAATGCTTAATGCATTATTGTAACATAAACTATATTCGTATTATTTTTTCTGTTGCAGGTGAGTGTTCTTAACGAATCGTCCAAAAATGAAACGTACAGGTAATATATAAAGAAAATAATTTTGATTCCCTTTTTTTTTATATTTATTATATTTTTATATTTTTTATATTTTTGACATAGAATTAGTTTTTAAAATTAAAGCAATTTTTTTAAAATAAAACATTTCATAAAAGTATATAAACAAAAAAAATGCTTTTTGATATTTGAGATATTCCTAATGTATGTTTTATTTTTAATATTCATTTATTAATATAATACAAGAAATAAGAATGTTTTAGATTTATTTGCATTTTATTAATATTTAGGAAAAAAATCATGAAATCATTATTATTTGAACTTATACTTCATATTTGAATCGATTGTTAGAATTGAAGATGAAAATAATATTATGTTATCTTAAAGATAGTGATCATTTTTCTGATAGTATATATATATCGTAATTTAAAGCGACATTATTTTGCTTTTGTATAGTAGAGTTCCTTGTTGTCCTTACGGATTCTTGTCTTACCGGTTGCAACAATCAGATAATAATTCTACTTCGAGATTTTGCTTCATCCCACGTTCTCCTTCTTTTCTCGTCCTTGTTTGCGGAGGGAGTTAAGTGATATAAGTACACGAAAAGAAAATTTATCTTCGTTTCGAACATATTAGTTATTTTCTTGAAAAAGTTAGTTAATTTTTAGATTATCAGCATTGATCTTCTAGTGGAAATATATTTGAAAAAAATATTAATTGCACATAATATATCGATTGAATAATTGAGTATGAGAAATATATATATATATATTTTTTATTGAGAAGTTTAATATTAAGAATATTCGTTAAAATATATATTTTATAATAAAATAGAAATACATGAAATATTATATTTAAAAAAAAATTATAAAAATAATTTACTTTGCATCGGCCGGGAATCGAACCCGGGCCGCCCGCGTGGCAGGCGAGCATTCTACCACTGAACCACCGATGCTGTTAGGATATGGGCTCCTTGAAGGAAATTTGTCCAATTATTTACGTAGGATTATAATGTCTTATTTTATTATTTTTACATCTTTTGATTTATATTTATCTTATTTTATTCAATTTTTCATAAATTCATTATTAATTTATTAATAACGATAGATGAAATTAACTCAATATTAATTTTTTCATTTAATTTTATAGTTTAATGTATTATGATATCATTTTACTATATATATTGTGACATTAATTAAAATTAAGTTGATCCCAATTGATTTAGGAACTAATTTTCAATTCAATAAATAAAAATAGATAAAATTATAAATACTTTTTAACACCAGTACAAATCTTCAAAATCTATTCATCTAATTCTACCTTCTACACGATTCTAATTATCTTTTTTTTTCATTCTGCTTCGTTTATTCTCAATTTTTTTCTCTCTATGATTACCACACAATTCGGACGTAGTTATTTTTCTTTTCTACGAATGCATCGACACGGTGGCTGTTCCTGCTGGGCGAATGCCATGTACACATGCAACCACGATAAAAGAATAAAAGTTTGTTAACCTCTTTGTATCGCGCAGAATCGTTAAAAACAGCGACGATGCACGAATGCGTTTCTGTTTTTCGAGGACTTTTTTCTTTCGTCGAACAGTATCACCAATGATAGTCAACTCTTCGCTAATAAATAAAGATCTTTTCATTTTGTTTTTCCCCAGTTGTTTTTTTTTTATTTTATGACGAGTTCCTGAAATTCTGACTTCCCTCCACGAGATCGAAATCGTT